GGCAGGGGAGGTGGTCTGTGGATCCCCATGTGCCCTAACCCTAACTGGGAGACACTGGGGCCTGATGGATGGTGCTTGGCAGTGTGGGCTTATCTCACCTTATCAGGATTTCCCTGACAGCAATGCACTGCAGAAAGGGCAGAGTCCACCCTATGGCTATGATAGGGCTGCTGTGTGCCACCCATGACAACACCCCACATGTCACATGTCCTGGGAGCTGTGTTCATGAAGCTGGATGAGGGCTGGCAGAACTGGCATGCCAAGGCTGGAGAAGGGCTCTGCTCGGGAGTACCCCAGATGTGGGAGAACCAGCTTTCCACCTATAGGGATCCACAGAGTCCTCCTGCCATGGGCTCTGCCACACTGTGCTGTGTTCTTGTCCCAGTGCCCCCAGGGGTGCCCTGTGCATGCTTTGTGACCCCTCATGCCCAGCACCCCGGGGCTGCCCTGTGCCCGGGCTGTGTTGTCAGCCCTGTGGGGCCCCACAGGGAGGGATCCATGGGGCAGCACAGGACAGCCTTGGCTGACAAGTGAATAACTGTGTGAGAGACAGAAAGCACAGTTTGGGTTTGTCTGGAAGATAACAGGGGATAAGGAGGGACGCCTAATGCTCTGGCCTTCAACGCCCAAGCAACTAGTGGCTTACACGGCTGGCCCTGCAGAAGACCTCCCCACTGTGTAATCATGCAGCTACTGCCCTGCTGCCAGCTGGTGGCCACAACACTGGTGTCTGGCTGGACAGTGAGTACATGGGGCTGAGCCCTGGGCTGCGCAGCTCAACAGGCAGCACTGCCAAGCCTGCACCCAGCCCCACTGACGTGGCTCAAGGCTGTAGACAAGGCCAGCGTGCGGCTAAGCTCCCAAGGACTCAGGGCTGAGCCTGCAGTGGGGGAGAACTGAGCTCTGGTGAAGATGCCAGCAGTCATGGTCCATGCAGGGAGTGGGTCCCAGCCTGGGTCAGCAAGAGTGCAGAAATGGGCTGGTGAAGCAATTCTTTCCCCCCTCCTTCTGCACGCTATGTTCCATTTGGGGCTCCCCAGTACAAAAAAGATCCCATGCTGGAGTGAGGCTAGTAAAGGCTGCTGAGCTGGTCAGGACTGGAGCTAGGCTTACTTGGGCTGAAGAAGAGGAGGAATCAGGCTTCATCTGTCCTGAACTGTGAGTCATGGCTGGACTGATTTTTTCTCCTTTGGCACTCCCCAGGCCAGCACGGGCATTGGGGTGATGCCTCCTATAGGGACATCCTGCAGGCAGGGGCTGGATGAACAGACTGTGTGAGTGGCTGCCAGACCTGGAGCCTCATCCGTATCTCAGTGCTGACACACCCCCAGATGTCCCCATGTCCAGCCTTGCCCTTCGCCCCAGCCAGCAGCAGCACTGGCTCCCCATTGTGTGTGTATCATGCATGCTGCTGGCCTGCTCATGTCACTGGGGACAGGCACCCTTGGAGGAGATGCACAGCTCTGCCTTCTGGAAAAGGAATTGCTGCAGCACTGGATACAAGCCTGTCTGCTTTTTACTGATCTAAGTAAGCTGGAACTTACAGCTTTGTGGAAGGGAGCAATAGAGCATCCAGGGCATCCATGGCTCTGAACATGAAAGGCAGGACAGGGAAACAACTTCATGAGAGAAAATGTCTTGTGAAGGTTGGAAGACAAAATTCAAGTTGGAATGAGCAAAGGAGTTATTTCTCGCCTGACTTGAGATTATCAGTTCAAGTATTTTGCAGACCCAGGGAGACCCTTGAGGGCTCCTGGGGACTCTGGCATGCATCCACATGTCCCTCCACGCCATGCTGGTTGGTGGGCACACCCCAGGCTGGCAGCCAATACAGCCACCACCTGTCTGCCTAGGAGAGCCTGGGTCAAGCTGTGGTCCCATGTGACATCTTGGTCCCATCTGGATCCCATCCCCTTGTGGCACCAAGACACCACACGAGTGCTAACTTCTCCCACTTGAGTGACTTGGGATCCTCATCACACAGCAGCCAGAAGTGCCCCAGCCTGCTGCATCAGGCTACTCAGGCTTTCCATCAGCCTGATGGAGATGGGAGCACTGGGATGTGGTGGGAGTAAGGAACTTTTGCTGCTTTTGTGGCATTTGCCTGCTCCCTGGCTACCCTGTGGGGCCGGAGGCCAGGGTGGTGGGCTTAACTCACCTGCACCCAGCAGTCCTGGCTGTAGGGAGAGCACCGGTTCAGGCTGGGGTGGCACTGGTGCCCATGGGTGCACAGGCCACCCTGGGCAAAGACAGCCCGTGTGCCTGGCCCCAGCCTCTGTGAAGGCTGTGCTGGTTGTCATCATGTAGCATCTGCCCAGACTTCTTCAAGGAAAGAGACATCCCTCTAGGATATATTGTCTAATTTTATAGGGGGAAGGGACTACAGGGGAAGTCTTTTCTTCTCTCTTGCAAGACTCTCATTGCAGAAGCAGAGCTGGCTCCATCAGCTATTTTCAGTGTGAGGCTGGGCTGTAGGGACAATGGAGGTGGTCAGGCTCTGCACATCTGTGGGTCCTGCAGCTCACAGGAGCCATCTCCTGCTCTGGGTCCTCAGCCACAGCTGCAGCCTCCTCAAGGTTTTTTCCAAGAGTCATAGAGCATTCTGAAGGCCCTGGGCAGCCTTGTCTGGGTGACCCTGATTGAGCCAGGGACTAGAAAACCTCCACCCTCAGCAAGGGTGTGCAGCACCTTGCTTCCAGCAGGAAATAACCAGCCTTGTCCTATAGGAAAATACAAGGAGAGTATTTTCTCCAAGACTTAAGGAACACAAAGAAAACCACCCCAAAACTACCACAAGGCACAGAGGTTCCTTGTGAGAGGATGGTACTTTCCTCCTACTGATGGCAGGAGGAAATTCCTACCATTTTCTGTTTTCCCTTAGTCCCTAGGCATTTCCCCATGCCATTGTGATCAAGGCACCTGGTTTTACTGCCCTGGTGAACATGTCCCTTTAAATTATGGGAACTACCCAGGAGGAAGCAGCTCTGCAAGTAGTACCTGACTGGTGCATATCAGTGCACTCCAGGTGAAGGTCACGTAAGTGATGAATCAGCAGGAGCTTGGCTTACCAAGAGCAGGAGGAGCAGCATCTCAGAGCAGGGACCCCCTTCCCAGCATACGTGGGGGCTTGGCAGGAGCTGGGGGCCAGCACGCTGGGGAGAGGAAAGTTCATGGGGTTGAGGCATTTCTGGAAAGCCCAGTTACTTTTCTTTCAATGTCCAAGGAAAACTGTGGGCATCTCTTTGGAAATGAGATGAAGGGACCAAAGCAGCTTGACAAGAGAAAAAATTCCCACATGCTTCAGATTTCCTTCCCATGGTGTGCAACAGATGTGACTGAGCTCTGCCTGTGACAAATGCTGGGGAGGTTTGGGTGCCTGCAGCAGAAGTGTGTACGGTACTGGGTGAATCATTTACTGCAAAGTCAGGTGAACAAGCCACAGCTCGTGTGTGCTTG